ACAATTGTGAGAGGCAAATCTAGGGCACTGTGGCAGCCTAATTATCATTAGCCATTCATCCTATTCATCCTGTCCCATCCCACACACATTCTCACAGCACATACCCAGGCATTCACCACCCCATGACTGTCCCCAGGCAATCTACACCTGCAGAGTCCCCAAGCTATGGACAGCTGGATTCCCACATATTACCCATAAAAGACACACATTTGTTTCCATTTGTAACGCCATCCCTCAAACAGATTGTAAATCCCGATAACCAGGCGAGCGCAGTCATTGGCTGAGAGCGCTGTTGTGGACCGACCCATCAATACAAACGCAGCCGTCTCATTGGCTCACCGTCTTCAAACAGGGCGACTCTGGCACGCCCCCGATTCCTGCTCCCCTATAAAGCCGAGGAGGTTCGCCCATGTGGATGTTGCAAACTGTCAACATTGCCTTACCAACATCTCAAAGAGGAGGAGAAGCCTCATTGCTGAACTAATCTTTTTTCCCTCGTCTTCTTTGGAAACTACACCTCCCACATTAATCAAGATGAAAGTTGTCGGATCTACCTGCGCCCTGAAGAGCAAGGTCGGCGGCGAGGACATGGTGCGCTGCCTGTCCGACCAGAGCCTGACCATCTCCAAGTGCAAAATCCCGCTGCTGGACGAGCAGATGAGCGTCTTCCTCCAGGACATGAACAGCTGCTACAGCAAGCTGAAGGAGCTCGTGCCCACGCTGCCCACCAACAAGAAGGCCACCAAAGTGGAGATCCTGCAGCACGTTATCGACTACATCTGGGACCTGCAGGTCGAGCTGGACGAGCCCGAGAAGAGCCGCCAGTTGTCTGCCGGCAGCGTCCCCCGCACGCCTCTGACCACCCTGAACGCAGAGCTCGCTAGCATCGCAGTTGAGGTAAATATCTCTTCACATGTGTTAATAATAAACCGGAGAATATCTCAGTGTCATATAAACCTGAATGCACCACTGTAGTTTATGTATTTGAACGCTAAATGTGCGTGCGTAAAGTTACCAACTCCGTGCGTAAAAGTCATTTTTCCCGCTGCGTTTCGCTTGTGACTGCTGTTGTAACGCAGATATACTAATGAAACCTTCATTTCTCTCTCCCCGCAGAACGGATGCTCGGATGACAGGATTATGTGCCGTTAAAGAGCTCGTGGAGCATCGCGCCATCACCCCACAGCGATCACCGCGAAGAACGAACAAGGCTACCTGATGTGACATCTCGAACACATCAATAAAAAACCTTGAACTGTGTAGGGACGTTTCAAACTCCCAATGCTAGAAAAATAACGTTGTGCGGACATCCTCCGCCGGCGAGGATCTCTGTCACTCAGGGCTCTCGATTCATCAGAGGGCCCTGAGAGAAGAAGACCGGTGGTGTCCAGATCTAGACTGGGTTAGCCGGGGGACCAAGACGAGTTCAGTGCAACTAGCGTCGCTTGTTGCTTGTAGAGTTTCTAAAGAAAGCTGATGTTTCTGTTACGCTCTTTGTATAATGTGTAAACCATATAGAGAATTCAACATTTTGTAAAAGGAAAAAAATACATTTCTCAGATTACTGAGCGACAAACTGTATTGTATATTACAATGCCACATTATGTGAAGATATTGTTTTCTTACAATGTACCTTATTTGTGTTTTTATTAAAACAAGACAATTATTTTGGAACAAGAATTACTGTGTCATTGTATGTGTGTGTGTGTGTATAAGTGTGTGTGAGAGATATAAGGTGCTGTATCATGCACCTGGACCGTTTCAGTGTTGACTTCTTTGTAGAAACTAGAGCTACAGTTGTGGAACATGGTTACTATGGACTGTTACAGCCTTGTTATCATTGTGATTAATAGTAGTGCTACTCATATTCATCTGAATAGTTCACCTTGTTCCTGACAAGTACTGGGGGAGTGTAAAGTGGTTGTCTCTAAGAAGTGTTATACCTAGAAGAAGCTGTTAAGTCATTCAGGTAACATAAAACCAAAGCTGGTGGTCAACATAATGGCTCAGAGCCAGTTAAATTGGTAATTTGCCTCTCTATGGGTCATTACAGTATCACATTACAAGAGGAAGTCTCACTTTGAATCGTCAAGACTCAACATACTGACAAATGGAGGCAGAGAGTTTGAAATCAGGTTTAAATTAAATAAAATCATCGCAGTCATCACAAATGTTTGTTTGTTTTTTCAAGAGGATTTCAAATGTTTTAAACAAATTGCAGACAAAAATAAAGCTCTGTAAGATTGTTTATTAGGAGAGAAGTAAGTAAGGAGAAAAAAAAGTTTGTTTCACGCCATAAAAAGCCCATTTAAATATGGTGTTCCAATATGTTATCGTGTAAATCAGCAGTGCGCGTCCCTGCCGGCACTGCAGGGGTTAAACTGGCTTTGGCGAGGCGATTCGTTATAAGATTTATTCTGTCTCCCTGGTGCAATGTTTTTCCCATTTCCCTGCGGTGCGATGCGCACAGCTGCAGCCCCGGCGTGGCCAGTGTGTGATTGTGTTTGTGTGATAGCTTTGTGCCAAGGGCAGGGGAGGGCGGCGGGGCCCAGACTGAGCGGCGCCTCGGCACACCTGGGGAAGTTCAGGTTAAATAGCTCCACATTCCTCAACACACAGCTGATTGAAACATTAACAAACAGTAATCCACGGGCCAGGCCGCAGATGGGCCGGGAACCACGCCAACACTCGGCGAGAGAGGGAGAGAGAGATTCCCACAGTACAGTCGTATGTTATAAATTTGCTATTAATATATACAGTTTTTCTTTTTTTCCCCCCCTTCTTCTGAAACATACACTGCTTGAGTTGTTAGAGAAGTGTCCACAAGTAGTTGAGCGGAATTGTTTCACATATACAATTCCTTAATGTGTTCCTTTATACTGGGAAATAATTTATACTGTTTCCTCTCTGAATTTCTAATCACTCATAATTATCTGTACGGCAGATACTAATCCCTCTTACGTAATCTGTTTGAGTTGTGGAGAAAATGAAGACCAGGCTATTGTGGTCTCCATAATGAATATTTTATTACCATTAAATCCAATTAGGCCCATGTGTTGGGTTTTTATATCTGCTCCATTCTTAATTATTGTTTTTATTTTAATCCCTCAGTCTATAAACAGGAGTAAATCCTCATGCCCCTTCCTGCAGCTCGCTTGTACTTTAGCGCCCTCTTGCGAGCGTGAAGGGTTTCGCAGGGTAAAAAGCTTGCGTTAGCTGCAGTGTGGGGCAACTGCTGGGCTGGAGGAGACATAGGTAGACAACAGCGCCGCCTTCTGGTTAAAGTGACATGAACAAAATGTGTTCATTAGGGTGCTGGTGGTGCTGTCATGTATTTTCCTGCTCACATATAATATTTGTTTATCATTTAAGATTCTAAATAGTTACTCAAATGGTGCACTTAAGTACAGTTTAGGGGTATTTGTACTTTACTTGGGTATTTCTGTACTTTCCTCCATTTGTACTTCTCCATTATGTTTATGTGACGGCTGCATTACCTTACTTTACATTCAAAGAATACGATAGTATAAAACACATGATGCATTGTTAGAAATAAACTACCCAACAGTACAAAGAGTCCTACCTCTAAATGCTGCTGTCACTGATCAGTATTAATGATCTGATAATACAGGAGAGAACTGCACTCACTTTTTATTCATAAAAGGATCTATAAATCTGCCTCAGCAGTGGTGGAAAGTAACTAAGTACATTTAATATTCAAGTCCTGCATTTGCATGATGCTACTGCAGTTTTGAGGCACCTTATATAACATTTATATGAGTGCTAGACTTTCTTGTTCATTAGGATTTTATGTTAAAGTAAAATGTTTAAAATACAATGTATTGTTAAAGATTAAAGCTGTGGTTTATTTTTTGGCTTACCACCCCGCACACTTGTGTTAGCAGTTCCACCTGAAAGAGAGCTGGTCAAATGGTTTCCCTTAAATAACTGTGAGACAAAAAGATGTAGTATGAAGTATGCAACATTTCATTACAAATGCAAAGATTAGAGAAATGTTACAAATAACAAATTTGTTTAGCAGAACTTTTCTTTTTCTGACTCCTAGGTCGAGAATCACTGCATTAAAATATCAAACTGTATATGAAGTATTTATAACTAGCTCCACTTCAACCAGCAACCAGTTAATATATCAGTCACAGGGGCCATTGTTCTGCAGATCCAGTAGTTTAACTCTGTACTGTATATTTGAAGTATACCCCCCATCTCGGCATCAATAATAATAATGTTGACAATATCGACGTGCAATAATTACTGTGCAATACCATTCCAGATTCACTGTGCAATCTATTGCCCACGTGCAACTGCTGTTGCTACTATTTGTGTTATCTTTTGTTTGTGGATTCATACTGTTTTTTATCTTGTACATAGTGTTTATATTTATTATTGTCCTTCTCTTACTGTTTTTTATACTGTTTTTCCTCTATCCACTTTGCTGCTGCAACATTGGAATTTCTCCATTGTGGGACAAATAAAGGAATGTCTTATCTTATAATACTTTTACTAAGTTAGACTTTTCAATACAAGATTTTTTTCACTTGCAGTATTTTTACAACATACTTTTTAATCCACCATGTGCCTCATTGTATCACATCTCCTCTCAAGTACTTACTATATACAGTCTCCTATCACTAGTGACTGAAGGGAAATGAAGTTCACACTGAATGGGCTTTTTAACAGACTAAAATAGGCAACTGTAATAAAGTTTTTACATTACAATACTAAGCAGGGTTTAATATTGAAAATCAAAGCAAAGCAGCTTTTCCTCTGACAGAAGAATATTATAAATGGATCAATCCTTCCTTAGTTTCTTCCAATAACAAAAGCAGCCCTCGTTAGTTATGTTTGATCAGTGATTATGTTGTCAATGCAATATACTGGTTGCTGTTTACTGTTTACTAAAGTCAGACTGAGTCAATTGCATGGATGCATCACTGCTCGTAATCAGATTAAGAAGATAATCAGAGAACCAGAGTCAAGAGTGTTTAAATAGAAATTTGTATTTACATTAATATCAACATCAACAGAAAAAATCTGTAATATACATCCTGTAAAATGACAGCTCATCTTACCTCCAAACAAAAAAACATCAAAAACAAACCAAATGATCTCTTGCCTCTTTTTGCACTTCATTCAAACTCTACAAAGTTCCTTGTTCCTGAAGTAACAAAATCTGGACAGAAAATGAAGCTGTTTCCTGAAAAATAGAAGAGATATTGATATGTCTTAAAGTGGATTCAATTCCATTGGTATTTCTCTCTCACAGCAAAACATGCTTTGTCTATTTTCTGGATGTAAAAACTTTCTGCTGTGGGGTTGAGAGTTTCCAGACCTCTTCGCACTGCACTGAATGCTTCCCACTGCGGAACAACTGAGCCCCATGCCCTTTATGCGTACAGTTTATAACCATCATATGCTTTTACAGATCCATGATATGTACCCATTTACCATCAGACTAATATAACACGTCATAAAAAAAATGTACACCAGAAACCTCAGAAACTATACAGAGATGTGGAAAAATATCTTTGGATTGCGCATGTTGAAAAGGTAGATTCAGCGAGCTGAGAATAACAGTCAAAAGAAGATGGTGTGAATAAAAATACACTTGAGAGATAGAGCTGGTAGGAGGGGGGAGAACACTTCAGGGACCAGGCTTGTTGGTAAACTGAGGAGTGTGTGTTCCCGTCTTCACTGTAGTGCAGACAAAACCCATACAGCTCACCTCACACTGAACCCGACAAAATCATATCATTTTATGTAATCAACAGAAGACATCTGCCACATTCCAAGAATACCTCTGACAGCGTGAAAGCTTGAACCATCAACTTGTCAGCTACTCGTCACAAGTAAAAGTGCCTCGCTAAAACATGAAATACATGACTTTTGGAAAATTAAAAAATACAGCATTCAGAAAATGACAAACAAAAGGAAGGAAACCCAAACACTCCTGTGATATTTGCAAAGGCATAAAAAAAGCAAATCATCCAAATCAGTATTGACCTATGGGACACAAAAATACAACCAGGTCTCATACTTTGTGCAATAATGGGCCTTTAAAAAGCATGTTTGATATATTTTGTAGAATATTTACAATTCATATTCACAGAGGACATTTGAGACATCTAATACTGCAGTACCATTTGTTTGCTTATAACAGGGGTTATGATGCTCAGTTACAGTCTAAAGCATAGAGGCAAGAGTTATTGCTCCAATCTGCATAACATAGTAAATAAATTGTGTGCTTATAGCTTCCAATGACTTCAAGAATGAGGCGCATCCAAAGGATAAGAAAGAAAACAGAAACCCATCGTTGTGAAGGCATTGAATCTCTAGTAAGGCTGTAATGATGAAGAAATATTGCATCAATCTTTATTCCACACAGAAGCCTCCAGTAAAGTGCGGCCACAGCCAGTTGTACCATAGTCCTGTTCTGTAGTCTGGCCGTGACGCTGAATACTGCCCGACAGCTCCATGAACACACACAAACATGTGCGCACACAAACATGTGTGCACACACAGCACACACACACACACACACACACACACACACACACACACACACACACACACATACACACACATACACACACTGATATTTCGTGTTTGTGTGTCACCATACAGAGTTACAGTATGTGAGGCTTCAGTTGGAGCCCACTTCCTCTAGGATGAGCAGTGTGTTGTGCTGAGAATCCTACGTGTGTGTGTGTGTGTGTGTGTGTGTGTGTGTGTGTGTGTGTGTGTGTGTGTGTGTAGGTCCATCTCTTCTCGGGCTCAGACCGCTCGGCCACAGCTGAAAGGCTCCAGATTCTACTATCAGCCACAGGTCTTCAGCAATACTTCTGCAGAGACAGAAACACATTGCTTTTCCTTTACATGTCAGCCTCATGTAAGACCACTCAATAATAACAATAATACTAAATTTACTTATACAGCACATTTCAAAAACAAAGTTACAAAGTGCTTTACAATAAATCCATAAGAGAAACAATAAGCTCCAGACTACTGTGTCCTACCTGATCAGGTCCCATTGGCATTCTGCCCATTCCCATGGGGTTCATGCCCATTTGGCCCTGCATCTGGCCGTGTCTCTGTCCTGGCATTTGTCCCATCTGTCCCGCACTGGCCCCGCTGACTGGCCCAGGTCCACCCATGGAGGTGTTCATCATCATGGGTCCAAACTGGCCCTGGTTAGCCTGCTGAGGGAACTGTTGCTGGGGGTATGAACTGGAAAAACAGAAATAAAAGAAGTTTTGATGCAGGTCATTTACGTCTGTTTATTTAAATATCACATTAGGATAAACCTCTTTGTGTATGGTGCTCATTATGGTGACGATTAACTAACAAACCTACACTTGAATAATAAACGACTAAATAACTTTTCTCAAGAAAGCTTGATGCTACATACTTGTTGCGTGGCATGCTGCCCTGTGGCCAGCCTTTCATCTCTCCAGACGGGTACATGGGCCCTGCTTGCGGATTGCCCTGCATCCCTGGCATCATGGTGTTCTGAGGAGGACCTCCCATTCGTCCTGGCATCATGTTTGTTGGTGGGCTGCTACCTGGAGCCATGAATGATGGATCCCCCTGCTGGTTCATCCCTGCAGGTACAACGACAAGAAGAAGTCATGAGTGTGAAACTTAGGAGATCCAGGAGGAAAGCATACAGAACTCTGTCTCAGTCAACTCACCATAATTACCTCCATAGTTGAAGCCCTGCTGTCCAGCCTGGTTTATTGGGGGAGCTCCCATGGGGCTGTCCATGCCCCCTGGTGCGGTGACATTTGGAGGAGGGCTGAAGCCTGCTGCTGCCCCCTGCCCCTGTTGCTGCTGCTGCTGCTGCTGTTGCTGCTGCTGCTGCTGCATCAGCATCATCATCCTCTGCCTCCTCATCTGGGAGATGGTCATCATCTCTCTGCTGCGCTGAGCCATCATCTGGGCATTCAAGAAACCCGGCTGAAGACAAACATCAATACTTTGACCTTAATTCTACAAATGGTGACTTGACTGATGTTATTAAAAGTGAATGCACACTTAATTAGATGTGAGGAAGTGCTGACTACATACCTGACCACTCATGCCTGCAGGCTGTATACCAGGCTGTATACCAGGCTGTATACCAGGCTGTATACCAGGCTGTATACCAGGCTGCATGCCAGGCTGCATGCCAGGCTGCATGCCAGGCTGCATGCCAGGCTGCATGCCAGGCTGCATGCCAGGATGCATGCCAGGATGCATGGCAGGGTTTCCTCCGGGGGCATGTTCCATCTTCATGCCTTGTCGGGTCTGGTTCATAAACTGCCAGATGAGACAACAAGTTCAATATGCCAGTTTTTTGTCATTTTGTCACTATTAATGTAGCAACCCAGAAGCTACCAACTTCTCCTAAGACAGAGGTCATCTTTAGGTTGAATATTAGGTGTGCGTCTGTGTGATCACCTGCTGTCCTTGCAGTCTCTGCTGCAGCTGTAGTCGGAGAGGCTTGGTGGCAGTAATCATGCGAGGTCGCATCATGTTTGCACGGGGGTTGCCCATGCCCGCCATGCCAGGGAAGCCCCCTGCCTGGCCCATTTGATTCATCATGGGGTTGAAGCCTCCCGGAGACTGGCCTTGCATTGTGTTGCCACCATAACCGGGCTGCATGCCCACGGAGGGGGGCCCTGGGGGCCCAGGGTAGCCTTGGTTATACATGGGTTTTTGGTCCATGCCTAAGGAGGAGTCCGGGCCTGGGAAAGGATCTGATGGAGGGCACTGTCCCTGGCCTTGATCCTGGCCCTGCTGGTGGCCCTCAGGTCCCTGAGTCTGGGGTACAGAGGAGTTGCATGTCACACTAGTTTGGACAAAGTAAACTTTACTGCAATATTAACTAGGGACGTCCCGATCAGTTTCTGTAGCCCCCGATCAAATCTGAGTTATTTAATATTGAATATCTGCCAATATAGAGTCTTGATCTTATCCTTTTTTTAGATAATACAGTGCCCAGTGCACACTTCAAGTACATTAAAGTTATATCCAAAGTTATTCCTTAACATTTGGAGCTTTAGTGCAGCCATTGCCTGAGTTACCTGAATGAACTGTTTGTATTCTGGTTTATTTCTACATCTTTTACATTATATTCACCAAGTACTCCTATTGGCTTTTTGTTCATGGGACTTTTGTTGCACTTGCAGTGGCGTGTTGAGTATGGTTGTGTTGGATCTCTAACACTCTTCTCCTCTGCAGCGGGGCTGCTCCTGCTCTCTCACACGCAGAGCCCAGAGTGGAGGAAAGAAACAGTGAGAGAGCTGACAATGGCTGCACCAAGCATGAAAGCTTTGTGTAACAGCTGAAGTAAACAAAAAATCGGATCGAATCAATAAAGCTCAACAATGCTAATACTGATCGTTGAGATTGGATCGGGATATCCATAATATCAACACAACACTGGATAATTATAATAAATATAATAACTACTGCCATAGCAGAGACATAAAACACATGTACATCACATAAAACAGCTTCATGAGACCCACACATAACAAAAATGGCTTACAGAACGCCTGCACAGCATGCAGCTAGAAAAAACATTGCGAGCTTAAAAACATTTTCTTCAAGCTGACATTCAAGTTGAGGCTTGAGAAAGCACGTTCAAATCACATCATGCAGGAATCTGATGAGTACAGTAGAGAGGATAATACAATTCATACAGTGATTTTGGACCACTCTGTGAGCCTCTGAACATGTTCTGTTTTGCCTGAAGCTTTTTGACTCAATGTTTAAACTTAAATTGAGGGAGCAACAAGCTTTTGACTTTATACCATAATATCTCACAGTATATTTTACATTACACATTTTTCACTTTATTCAATAATCACTTCATAACTGAAGTTAATTTGGGCCCATGACACACTATCATTACCATTTCCTGTTAACAAAATAAGAGCATGCAATACATCATGTGTACTGTAGTGTGTCTTGTACCTGGCCTACTATTTCAGGGATGCCTAGGGCTCGGTCTATCTCCTGCAGTGCAATGACATCAGCTGTATTGAGCAGAGAGTCCAGCTGGTCAAGAAGTGCCCGTTCATCAGGTGGGCCCTCGCCGCTGGCCAGGGGGCCCAGAAGCTCTTCCAGTGGATGCCCAAACTGGTCCCTAACACAACAAATGACACAGGAGATGTTGAGTCACTTTAAGAAGAGAGACTGCAAACGCAGACATTATCAATGTTTGTTTCTGAATTCAGTTTGAAGTCTACTTAGTTGGCAAAAATTCAGAGGGATAGTGTTTAGAACAGTGTGAAAGACTTACCTGTTTGTGTTCCTCTGTGGTCTGTCCATTCCCATAGCAGAGTCTGGCCAGGAGGGAGACTGAGGTGGGGGCCCATGTCCACCAAACCGGCTCATACCCATATTTGCTTCACTGGTACCTGCACAGTTGATAATAGGTAGTAGTGTATGGTTAATACAAAGTGGAAACAATTGGTCAAACTATCATTTTTCAATGCAATTCAATTGTTAATTTGCAGAAAATGATTCCCGTTCAGATATTTCAGACATGTGACATACCCATATCCATGAGTTGCTGCTGCAACATAGACCTTGTGTTTCCAGGTACACTGTTGGAGCGGTTGATCATGGGTCCTGCCATTGGACCAGAGCGACCCATGCCAGGGTGTCCTGGGCCTGCCACAGGGCTGCCACTGGACCTCTGCATCCCCCAGTCCCCTGGCCCTGACATGGGAGGGCGCTGGGGCATTCCCATTCCTCTGCCAATACCTCCTAAACAACACAAAGACCATGAACACTGTTTCATCATTTAGCTCAGCAACATAGTGAATAATGGGAACCAAGCTTCTATAATTTCAAGGATGGTGGGTTTAGCTACAAATGTGAGACCCAGGTCTGTCTTGGCCATGCAAAGAAATAAGTGTTTCAGTTACTTGTTGGATTCGCCCGAGGTGGACACACACCCATGCCTCCTGGAAAGCCATTGGGAATGGGCCCGGATCGGATCGGAGAATCCATGGTCTCCTGTTTAACCAAAGTGGGACACGGCAGATTCCTTCTCCCAGCTAGCCCGCCTCCTACTGCTCCACCTCCAACCAGGGGCTTGGCATCCATGGACAAGGCTCTTTGATAGGCACGTTGAGCAGGAGGCAGGGGGCCTCTCTCCCCATCTGAAGCACACATAATACCAAAGTTAGATTACCCACCTTCACACAATGAAATTCTAAGATTAAGACAGTCAGAAGTGTGTAATACCTCATGTATGACATATGTATATGCTATGCCATATGCCAAGGCTGCTATTGTAGTATCTTGTCACACAATGTTTTTTGCACATTAAGCATGAACCGTTTTGCTGTCCAGTGTCACATTTGATCACATCATACTCTCAAGTAGACTGACTGACATACCATGTAAACTGTCAGGCAAATTTCCCTGTTTGTTTCCCACTTCCTTCCCTGCTCTGGAGTCTGCTTCAGAGTAGAAGCCAGCGTTGTTCACACCCAGAATGGTCTCCAAGGTCTCCGTCTGAACCATCGAGACAAAAGAATGATTAGGAAACAGTGTTTTACTGGCCATTTTAAAATACATCATTAACAACATTAACAATGGTATTTTGGGCAAAATTCTTACCTCATCAGATGGTTCCAACTTGACCTTTCCATCCATGCAGTGAGGTTCAGAGCTGGTGACCCCTGCACCCTGAGCTCCTCTTCCTTCCAGGTCCTCCACCTTCGGCTTGATATCACCACCTTCTTTAGAGTCGTCCTTATTGAGGAGGTAGTGAAGGAGGGCGTGGGGCTTCTCCTTCTTTGGACTGTGCTGCTCCTGCTTTGATTCTGATCCCCTAGCTGCTCCAGTGGCTGCAGGCCCAGGCTCTGGTGCCCCTGAATCCAGGCTGCTTTTCCCAGTGGCCTCGGCTGTGATGCGAGCCACCTCGTCTGGAGTGTTCCCATTCTGCAACAGCTTGTGGAGGATCTTGTGCTTCTCCTGCAGTGACTGACTTGTTAAATGTCCTGTGGCACCAGAGGAGGACACAGCGCCATGATTCCCGCCCGTAGAGGAGGACACTCCTGTTGAGGATGAGGGGCTGGTGACGCCGGCTGTTCCGTCTTTAGCCCCAGGCGTGGAGCTGGGCCCAGAATTTGGTGTGTGATTAGGTGGCACCAGCTCATCTGCAGGGGAGGTTAGGAGCTGCAGAAGCTTCTTATGGCTGTCAGGAACCCGTCGGTTCGATTCTCCCCCGGCCGGACCCACCTCTCTACTGGCTTGGCTGTCTGGCTTGTCGGGAGGGCCCTCGCCGGTGGGTGTGTGGGGGTGCTGCTCTCCTCCAGCCCCCAGTGAGCTCCCAGGGCTCTTGGAGTCCGAATAGGCTGGGAGACCAGGTTTACAGGGTCCCCCTGCTGGCTGGTTGGTTGAGTTGATGCTTGGGGAGCTGTCAGGCTTGTGGGGGGGGAGAGGTGAGGGGGGAGGGCATCGGATTACCCACTCCCTCACTAATGGCTTGGAGGGCATTCAAGGAGCTGCTGGAGAAGGTGGTGCCTCCTCCGCCAGGGTGACTAGAGCTCATGGGAGAGTTCATACCTGCAGAAGGACAACAATCCAAGTAGTTAAAAACACATGTTAGAAAATGTCTGATTTAGGAAGCAGTGATTCTATATCCAATTAACCTGTATATTAGAAGTTGCTGATAGCTCTCGAGAGTTCTAGAAAAGTCTGGTTTAATACCTCCGGGGGAGAAGGGGCTGGCACCCATCTTGGGGCTTCCTCGGACTCTAGGTGAACCCATGACGTTATGTGGGGGGCCGTTAATCCCCGGACTAGCCTGGGGGGGACTGGTCATTCCCATCCCGTACCCTCCACCTCCAGGTCCGCCTCCACCTCCATGGAACTGACCCATCTGCTGATGTTGATGTTGATGTTGCTGCTGATGCATGCCATGGTGGCCCATCTGATTCATGGGCCCTATTTGGTTCATCGAGTTCATGGGAGAGTTCATTGGATGCATGGAATTCATCTGATTCATGGGACCCATGTTGTTCATCTGATGCATGGAATTCATTTGATTCATCTGATGCATGGGACTCATCTGATTCATGGGATTCATTTGATTCATCTGGTTCATGGGATTCATGCGGTTGCCCCCAGTGTACGGAGGCACTCCTCTTTGTGGCATGTTGCCCTGTTCAGCCATGCCGTAGCCCCTGTTCATGCCCATGCCCCCTCCTGGACCCATGTTCATCTGTTGGTTGGGATTGTTCACAACCATGTTTTGAGGCCTCATGCCTCCACCCTGGTTTCCACGATAACCATTCTGCTCCCTACAAAGAATATGGTCAATAACAAGAAATTAAAACAGGACAACGCTTACTCAAATACAATACAGTGAGACAATCATTCAATTTAGAGGAAATCATTCCTTCATCATTCTGCACCTTTGTAGCAAGTGCGTGGAGAGGAAAGAGTGCGGCTCATTGGTGTTGGGATTCCTGCAGAGGTCGCTCCTGGTCTGGGCTGTGACTGGGGTGCCATCAGAGAGTGAGAAGCGGTAGAGTGGGGTTTCTGCATGGCCATTATGGAAAGCTGGAGCAGAAAAAAAGCTGAATTAAAGCTATGCAAACATAGGTCTAAAGATTAATTTCCACAAGCCTTCTAGTGGTCACTGATGGGTAAGAACAAGAAAGAGTGGAACAAAACCCCAAATCATAGAGACTCTTACATTATACAGGAGGAGAACAACAGCACTGAATATATACATTTTAAAAACTGCATGCTCCCAAGCAGGAACATTCATATCTTAGGTCAGCGCACTTACTGTTTACTGTGGAAATCGTAGGTACCCTGCGTGTTCATTGTCTGTTAAGACTCCATATTGTCAAGCGTGTTATATATTGTGTCTTACAAATCCAGTTATGTCTCCTGTTGTACTAGTGATTACTCATTTATGGTTCTGAGCCTCTTATTCATTTAGCAAGGGCTGCGTCCCACATACCAAACGTTTTAATGAGGTGACTTGCGTTCTGCTACATTCTTTGTATACTTCTGTGATTGCTGCTCTTGAAAATGCTCAAACCTGCCCTACCACCTATAATAATGGATCATGCCTTTGTCAATGTCTGTGACCATGCTGTCATTCGAGGTAATCCATTCACATGCAAAACTAAAACTAAAACTAAAAGGGAGGTTAGATAGTAGGGAGCGGCAGAACTACATACCATCTTGATAGTGGCGTTTGTAGGACCACGGTTGTCCCTCACTTCGATTAAGGAACATCTGCATGCAGCGCCTAACCAGGTCCTCCCAGCCTGGACGCATAGTGGTGTGAAGAGAGCTCTGCTGTTCAATTTCAATCAGTTTACCTGCAACAGAAAACGCACCGTTGAGATTACACAGCCAATAATGGCTAGTGATGGTAAAAAAACCAAAACATTTAGATTCCTAATACAGTGATGGTGAACATCCCTAATTATCTAGAATGACATGGCTTGAAAGGTCACATTGTCAGTACAAGGAATGAGGGTATAAGTGAGGAATTAAAAAAGGGACACACCACTAACAAGTGCCACCCAACACAGAGTTTATAACTTAAACTAGTTTGACGAAAACCTTTGTAGGCTAGCGTGCCAAACAACAATATTTCCCATGGTCACCTCACATGTACACAAAATGAATCCACCTATTAGATATAAAACAATGGAAACTTACCAGACAGTTCATGGCGAGTGCTAAATCTCTCTGTCCTCTCTACTGCAATGATGCGTCGTGCCACACAGATCATACATGACTGCAAATCTGGGTTAAAAACAGCACAATGTTACGTTCTCATTTGACTACACTGGAGCAGAAATCAGACCGTCCAAACCTTACTTGTGTGTATTATTTTCAACATTTAAGTACAAATTGACAAAGAAATTCAACAGAAGGTATAGTTACACACTAGGTGTAAGCCAAAAAAGTCACTGGGTAATGTATATGAGTTCTACTTTGAAGCTGCTGATTAAATCATATCCTCTGTATTAAGAAAAAGAATGTCAATGTTGTCACAAAAACTATTCAAAGCTTTTAGATTTTTACCTTCACCCTCCTCCATCATGGCCCGGGGCTGAGTGAGTGCAAAACATTGCATGGTCTCATAGCGTTGGCCCCCGGGCCTCTCTTCTGGCAACCCATGACTCTGACCATGAACAAAGTTCACCAACATACGACAGTTGAAGGTGTGGCTCTTCTGTCTGGGTGCTTCTCCACCCCACGATGCCCCGTTTGGTGCTACAGAGAGAAATAGCCAACAAATGAGTGTGTGAGTGTGTGTGTGAGAGCATTCAAATGTTCATGTGTTCAATCATTTATGCTTGTGTGTGTGAGTAAGTGACCATGTTTGTATGCATTATCTTACACACACACACACACACACACACACACACACACACACACACACACACACACACAATCACACACAATCACACACACACACACACACACACACACACACACACACACACACACACACACACACACACACACACACACACACACACACACACACAAAAATAAACCCATGTCTCACCATGGGCCTTGGGTAGATTCTTGTGAAACTCCTCCCTGTCCTCATCGTGGATGATGTTGTACACACTCGTGTTGATCAGCTCCTCCTGCTTGTACTGCAGGTACTGTGTCACATTGTCGGACACAAATACAATGCTGCCCTCTCGGTTAACCACAAACAGAAAACCATCCAAGGCCTGAAAACAGCATGGACAGAAAAATGGTTCATTATTTGGTTACTCTTGCCCCTCTAGAAAGCAGCTAAGACATTTCTATAAACTTCAAGTGAGCAATGACAGCAAAGCACTGGTCCAGCTTATGGAACAGCAATAATTGATGTTTGTCTATTGCCCCCCTAAGTGATTGTCCCCAAGCTGACCTGTAGGAGCAGCGGTCCCAGATGGTCCTTGTCAATGACCCCTTGACCAGTGGAGGACACATCCGCCTTCTGGACATCATCATCACTGCAAGAGCTCTTTCCTAAGGACATATGAAGCACATCACACTACAGATGAAGAGAATTGTCATTTTACAACAGCTATCTATGCCTTTGGATTTTTCATTTGGTACTTTACATATTAAACATAATTTCCATCATGATCATACTGTTTGTCTTCATTTTAATTTAACCATTCTATGATTTCGAGTTGGCTGTGGGTGCTGCTTTCCTAACACAATGACATAAAAACATTTTTATGGCCAGCAGGTGGCAGCATGAGCCATATATGCATGGTTAGCATGCCTTTCTATTTTTAATATCAGCATGTGTCTGAGGCTTTGTTAGATACCACTCTATATAGAAGGGTCATCTGTGGCGCTAAGCAAGATGACAAATAATATGACACAACTCCATTCTGACTCAAAATAGCTGCACAAGCAAACAGAGCAATGATTGATATAAACAAAAAAGGAGATACCTGAGAAACTGACCCAAAGATGTGTAAACAAGGGGAGGGAAAGGTGTGTTACATGGACAACAGACAGAAAAGAGGACGAAAAAAAGAGGGGGCCCTCCATCATTGCCATCCTGTAACTATGGCAACCTGGCTGCATAACACCCAGGCCAGCAGTAGCCAGCTGTGACCCTCTGGGTAGATTCCAATGTGATTGCTCTCTCTCTCTCTCTCTCTCTTCCTTACCCACTTACCCTCACAGATCTAATCTCCACCAAGCTAAAACAGGTGGAAGAAAATATCCTCCTTTGTGTATCCAATCATGTAAAATCTGTAAAATTATTGGAAAAAGACCTAGGGATAGGAGAAACTTTCTCTAAAAGGTCTGATGTCTGGATCACCAGTGTCTCCCACCAGTTTCCCAGAGAGAAGCAGGGTTTGGCACTAACAGATACACACTGTCACTGACAGCCTTGAGCCATGACCAGCAAAGCATTGGTCTCAATTACTGGTGTTCATTTACCCCCAGCAATACAAACAGCCAAAGTGGCTGTCGGTCTGAAGCAGCCTGGCCATGAACCAAACACACCACTTCATCACTGCCATCGTCTGTCCTGCAGCAGGGTACTTGACAAGATTCAACTGAACTTTATTCACTGTCTAGCCCCCAAACAAATACAGAAAAAGACTAATTATGTTTCATATGTGACCTTGTTTTCGACCAGGAGTGTATGTGTGTAATTTGCACATGTGGCGGTACCTTGCTCTTTGATTTGTCTGATCTGTCTCACGGTTTCCTTGAGAATGGCACATTTGTCAGGCTTGACGTTGAAGCTGTCGATGTTGGAGAGGTTGGCAGAGATGAGCTCAGCCAGCTCTTCGATGTACTTGCTCTCCTGTTCCCTCCGACGCTTGTCACACCTGCCGGGGCGCCAAAGGGATTAGACATGTTTCCATGACAACCTCACCTCCCCATGCACCCGTCCGTATGCAGGACATACGGCCGTGCCTCAGATGCTTCAGATTCAGTTTCTGCTTTACGTGAGGCATGGGGAAAGGAAGTGACCTCACGCTCTTGCTGACATTCCCACCAAAAACATCAGGATTAGTATGTGATCGACACTTAACAGAGTTACAGCACTCACCCTAAGCCTGGCGTGTCGCAGGTGGACAGTTTACGTTTGCGGTCGGAGCACAGCGGCTCCAACAAGTTGTCTCCTACACCACTCATCTTCAGCGCATATCAGCACCTGAAAGCACACACATAATATATACATGTATACACACACACACACACACAAGCAGTACAGCATTATCAGAGTGAATGAACTGAGAGCGTGCTTTTATACACTCATATGTGTGGTACAATCAAATCAAAGGATAAGTGTGTATTGGAAAGCTGTCCTTTCTCACTCACAGTACACTCAAAAATGATGCCAAATTCAAGCAAACATTGAAAACTCTCAAAGCTACTGATGTTATAAATGAAGTGACTTCTAAGGGAAGAGTAGATTGTAGATTCCTACAGATTTATGAGGGTACACTATCAAGTTAGTAAAGCAGCCTTGGTTCCTGCTTAGTGCTTGATGGCAGTGAAATCTCATCTGTTCCACTGCGAGGAGCGACTGATGATGATGTAGTGATTTGGAGCCTCAGGGGAGATGGGTCATCCTGCGTTCAGCCAGCCTGCCCGCTAGAATGATACCACTCTGCTAACAGCGGCAACACACGTACACTCAAACCGTTTCCAGTACACTTACATGTTCAGGCATGTCGCACCACAGTCTGTAAGAGAGATTAGTGCTAGTTGCTACTGTCCCAGCAAGGCACATATTCACCAGCCTGCCTCTTTGTCTAACTGCCTGGGACTGCATGAGCAAAATAATACACACTGCTTGGGCTTGTGGAGCCAAGAAAAAATCCAGACGAGGCTCCACAGCACATTTCAGGGACTAGTAAAAATGATCCCCCTTCCGCATTCTCTTTACTCTGCATTCTCCATACTAGGCTACATCCGTTCTTTCTTCCAATAGATTTTAACTGCTGTTTCCCCCCATACCATCCAAAGACAACCCCTTCTCTCCCTCCCTCCCTCCCTCCCTGGGTGTAGCAGTACTGGACTGGGGACCCTGCCCTTGTTTTCTTGCTCTGGCATTGCCCTGTGTCTGACCCCCTCAGAGTTCATGTTAGAGGAAACCTCTGTACCCAGCCTCTAAGGTCACTGCTCTTTCCTATTCCCACCCAGAGACACACACAAAGCTGTAGCGTGCGGCTGTACAACCAAGATTGTTCTACTACAACCATATCCTGGACTTTGTGTCTGCATGTGTGTATGTGCACACACAAGCACTCTTAAACAGAGTGAGCTCATTCCAGAGTGGAAAAGTGTAGAACGGATGGGAGCCATTATGCAACTCCTGCTCCGCAACTGCAGGCTAGGACATGCAGCCCAGTCACCCACCACCCACTACTACTACTACAAGAAGAGCACCAAGTCTCAGACGCAGACTCTGCGCCATAAATCTGCATCGCATGCTTCTTGTCTGTCTACCTTTCACCACCCCTCTCTAAATCTGCCTGTCCTGCTCCGGCTGTGACTCTCACTGCCCTCCCTTCTCTCTTTCTTCCTTCCTTCCTGGTTTCTGTCCTAAGGCTCACCTCTGCAGCAGTGGAGAAAGATGACATCAGCCCTCAGTCAGCCTCACATCCTGAAACAGACAAACAGCAGAGCTGGGGGCTGCTGGGGGTCTTTCTGAAAACAAGGAATCCATAGTGGTGTAGAACAGTTTCTACTCTGCTCATGGAGAAGAAATGCTGAAAACCTGAGTAAATGTAAACAGATTTCAATGGGGAATCTCAATTTTCTTGAAAAAATAGGTTTTTTTTGTTACATAAAACTGCACCAAAACAACTATGTTCTCATGGGATTCAGACAACAGCACGGCACTATTTACTGCTCTTTTCATGTTCACAATAGTATGTTTCACTAGTTCACTCACATTGACATTTTGCACTTTCTGACTGGAATCTGAAAACTGACAACCCAAGTAGACAACTTCTCTACAACAGAAAGAGAAATTGTGAACTGCAGCCCACCAAAACCACAGATCATCTCAACAGGCCTGGCAGTATGCCACTGACCTGAATCAGCTTCATTTGACAATGTGAAACTTGCTCAGGGACAAGATATGTTGCACAAACCATCAGGTACATAAACAGCAGCTGTCAACATGAGAAATACAACATCTCATAGAGAAAAATGAAATGGTCTGAATCTTTAATGGATTGTCCACCTGTGTGTGTGTGTGTGTGTGTGTGTGTGTGTGTGTGTGTGTGTGTGTGTGTGTGTGTGTGTGTGTGTGTGTGTGTTTGTTTCTCTGCATACACAACATGCTCACCTTGACCAGAACAAGCCCCAGTCAAGCTCCATCCAGGGTCTAGCGTCGCTTCAATGTCTCAACATCTCCTGAAAGCAGAAAGAGAAGATAAAATGGTCATGAACTGTGGGGGTATGTTAACGTCTGGATGTTTCAACATGGCTTCATAATGGCACTGCTCTGCTGCTTCCTACAAAAATATCATGAGCTCTTTACATGTTTTGCTTTTACATAAATTCATGGGAAAATCTGATTTCTAAAATTGCACAGGAAGCCACAGCAGATAGCATCCTGTTTGCGTCCTCCCCTCAGCCCGTTCCACTGCGTCATCACTTCCCTTTCCTGGAAATGTGGCCACTCATCCACCATATTTACATATTCTGTTTATCAGTCTGGTTCCCTGCTGTCCTGGTTCCTACTCACACCTTGTATGATTTCTGCTGGCCATCAGAGACTTTCCAAAGCTGAAAATACCCTAATTCTCACAAAAGGTCAGGACATTTCTTAATCATATGGTTTCAAACAATGAATTTAAACTCTGATTTATCAAAGACCTTTCATCACTGTGAACACAACTAACCAGATAGTGTTTTAAGAAGCTACTGAGCATGTCACCTTTCTCTCCTTACGATATTCAATGTTTATACTACTTTGAGAAACATTTGACACTACACATGTGCTAGTAAGGATTCTGTCAAAGCTTTCATAACCTTCAGTACTTTGCAGTATTATTCATAATCACAGTAGAGAAGGCCCTCTGGGGTTGTGTGTTTTCTCATCAGAGAAATTGGATAAGCTTTCATTAAAGCAACAGAAATTAATCTTTTTTGCTGGTCACCAACATCTGTGTACAGTTCTTCCATTTGAAAATAGCAGCAACAATATTACACTCAGATGTAATAACTTTTTGTTTGCTTAGGATTTTTCTAGCCACATTTTCATAGCAAAAAGGGACCTGTCATGGGGTCCTAACACAACAACTATGGAGGACCTGGTCTTCAGTGTTTTGCTCCTAACCCTACTGCCATAGATAAGCCTGTCAGATGTTCTATCCTTCATGAAATCTAACAATAATTTACATATTATGTGACTTTAAGAAGAATTAAAAGTCAATTTGACTCTTGCACAACTGGTGTTCTGTAAGGACATGCTAAATTAAAATAACAGCTAAAAGAAAATATAAAAAAACATTGATTTGATAAATGTTTTAACTCCAAAAAAAAACTGTCTCCGGTCAGGTTTAGTCTGATTAATTATGGATCTAACTCAAAAGGCAGTAGTTACATGCATGCAACATATTCTATGTGTGTGTGTGTGTGATCCTCCACCACAGCCAACTGATCACATCAGTCCTAAACGCTGTGCTGCTACTGAGCTAATGCTGCAGCTGAATAATTTAACACAGAGAAAGAGAGAAAAGCGTTCCCTTTCTGTCAACTGTCCAAACACAGTTTAATCATTCTGAGTCGACACCAAAACAACAAATCAACCATTCACAGAAACTGAAAGAGAATTTCTGGCGTTTTAGTTTTAATGCATCCTGACCTCTCACACATGTCCATTACTTTTGTTAAACTTTGTTCATCCCTGTGTTTTCTATCCTTGTTTACTGACATAGGTACAAACACAGATCACACATGCATTAGAAACTTCTGAAAGTAAAATGTAATTCAAAGCAGGAGATATAAGCACTCCTATGAATATGGACTGCAAAGGGAGGAGGAGTCAAGGCAGATTGAGTAGAATAAAGAGGGAGAGGAGGAGGAGGAGGGGAACAGGGAGGGGGAGGGGAGAAGAGAGGAGACACAGCTCACTGAAATAAATAGTGTTGGGTATCAGAACAATTTAGACACAGAAACATTTCTTGTGAAAAGTAGACATAAGAGGCACCTTCTGCTCAGAAGAATTTACAGCAGAGAAGTATACGGTAGAGCAAGTTGGTGTGGTAGCAGATAATCCAATTGTGTCCTGTAAATTAAACTGCTAATGTAATGAATAAATATAAATAAGCTTTTTATTGTGTTTATAACGAACTGACTGATAAGTGACACTGAAATATTGCTTATGTTTTGAGGTTGGCAGTATGCACTCAAAACCTCACTGTTATAATGAACCTAAGATATTGAAATCAGTTTCTAATATAGCATGATGTAATTGCCTACTAATGCACTTTAAATATGGGTCGACTATACTCTCAATTGTTAGTTCAACAGTTAAATGTAAAAGTATACAGTACAGTATTTCTCAACATGAAACACATCAATGATGACACTGCTTCTTTTAAAGGACTGATTGAGCTTTGACAGTAAATTTGCTAGTTTGTCTGGTCAGCAGTGACTGTAGGCATCGAAGGGACAGACACAACTCCTTGTACAACAAACCACATTGACTGTGAGGGGTTTTGCTTCCTCATATCTTCATCAAAACTAACTAGTCAACATTGCAATCACTCCCATACCAATCATGTGTTACAGGACAAGTATTTAAATGTTACCAGAGACATAATTAAACAAAGGGTTGCATGTCTCAAAGCTCTCGTATCACACATGACTTCACTCTGAGTAAGTGAAGGGAGTGTATCTCCAAAGACATTGGCTATCTGATTCTTGTGTTCATCTGACACACACAGGTCTCATTTAAAGCCATTTCAGCAATTCTGCAGCCTCAGTGAATGACTGGGGAGTTGGGGAGATACAAACATGCAAGGCAACTAACATTAGCTAGCAAATTAGTTGACTTGTTGCACTAAAAAGGCACGTGCAGCAGATTTTTTAAGACTCTTGCTTAGTGGATAGCTATGACAGGTCTTTTTGCAATCAGATTCTAACTTTCTACATATCAAAGAACAGCAGTCCTCAGTAAATTAAACATGTCTAAAGGGACTATATGAGGAAATATAAGCAAGAGAGCCAAACACCCTTGTGGATTTCTAAACAATCTATTCTCTTTAAGATATGACAGAAGAAGATGAGCTGTATTCTGTACCAACTTTACATTTGTCGCCTCACCTCGCTCATTAAACACCAACTCGTAACGGTGTTAACTGACCGTCTATTTTGTGTGTGGTGTTTTTTTCGGCCGTGACCAAAGTCAGTAGCTGGTGCTGGAGAGCGAGGTGAGCCTGTGTCTGCTCTCACTGGCTGTAGCTTGTTGAATGGCGCAAGATATATAGCCTACTAGATATTTTCAGGCGTCTAAGGAATCGATAAGCCCTCTGACTGCGTCCTGAAACAGTTCACACATAGCGATCGTCCTGATAGGAGCAAGCTGATGTGGGGGCATTTGCGGCAATCTCCACAATACGTGATTTTAGCCCTGATTTCCCACTCGCTGACCATTTATGAGTTTCTCACCATTCATAAACTTGGTAGCGAATAACTTTTTAAATAAATTTTTCTGCACCCTGTAGTATAAATGCATTTCAGTTAGTATTGTAAAAAATAAAATCCATTTCAATGCACACGCACACACACACACACACACACACACACACACACACACACACACACACACACACACACACACACACACACACACACAGTAGCAGGCTAGAATGGCAGCAGTGTCAGTCAGTCAGTTAGGACGAGAATAGTGAGGAGGACATTCCTGCTCGGCCTGAAATAAAGCCTGCAATCTGAGCTCCCTGAGAGAATGAGTGGCAGGCCCAACAATAAACACTAGCCTACCCAAAACAAAGATCAGACAAAATGGGGCACACATACACACAATTAAAAGACCCCCAGAAACACACCCAAAGCACATGTTCTCAAACTGTCTTTATTACAGCTGTGTGGTGGTTTGAGGGTGTGGGGCAAAAACACTGTAAAATACTGAAAAAATATTGTGAACTTTCTTTTCAAAATCAAGGCTGGACATGAAAATCATTACTTCAGTACACTCACACTCTCTCACACACACACACACACACACACACAAAGGTAATAAAACAACAAAAGGTGTCTACTTGAGTTTGGGACATCAAGAGCAAAAAGGAAACAAAAGGACACAATGACTTCCTGTTTTTCTTCAAAGAACTTCTCCACCTCCTGCTCAGCATACAACCAGCTATATACTGGATTAAGTGCAATTGGAGCTCACACCAACCCAAGCCTCAATGTCTCCATTCAACAACAATTTCTGAGTAATTATAAAGCCACGTTTTGCTGAATCCAAATGTCTGCCCTATGTACAAAGAAAGAATGAAAAACCATTTGGAGACCTAAATAGACAGTTGTAATGTGAGCTCTCTCTTTATGCAATAGGATGGGTTGCCTTTATAACTGGTTTGATGTATATTAGGCTGAGGAATGCGATGTACAACCCACTAGTTGTAATTTTGTGAAACACTGTCCATGAGTAGTTAACAAGGAGCAGTTTCTGGAGCTTGTTAACAACATTCAACCAAATTAACCGAGTGCAACTAACTTAATCTAAACATATCACCACCTTTTCACAATGGAGTCATGAGTCTGGTGTAATATGAAAGGGGAATACTGTAATGCTGTGCCCCCATTTGGCCTTGGAAGTAGGTTAGTGTTGTAGATAGCAAGCTGTCAGACCCAGCTCCAAGGCCACAACAAAGTGAGGGAAATAAACATGGTTGTCAAGAGAAGTAAAATAATTACAAGCTAGTTCACACATGCTACATTAATATCTGAATTTAGAGCAGGCAAACACATTGTTAAAGCACATTTTCGCTTGTGTTTTCAGAAAAAAGCAGTGATCGGACAATCAGGCGAGGGGTTAAGCAAAGGGTCATTAGCAATTCGTCTTTCTTTAGGTCATCTCTTCAGTGAGCCAGCTAATGGTGAGATATGTGACAGATGTGCATGCACCGAAAGTACTGAGCCCTTCTGGGCCTCAGCAAGGAAAAAAGAACAAGGAATCAACTAAATCGAAATCGAAGGGCCATTACAGCAAATAATGTTGTTTGTCGTAACAAACTTCCATCTGTTTGGCATATGATAGTGCCAATATACATTACTATCCCAGGTCTATATGGGTTAATGTTATATTTAGTTTTCCATCATCCTTAAACAATGGCAAATATTATTTCAGTTACTTTTATTGTCTTTTTCATTACACAGCT